GGACTGTCAGAAAACCTTTGACACAGTACCTCACAAAAGGCTGTTACAAAAGTTGGAGCAGCCGGCAGGAGTAAAAGGTAAGGTGCTCCAGTGGATAAGGGAGTATCTAAGCAATAGAAAACAGCGAGTAACGGTGATGGGGGAGGCATCAGAGTGGCGAGATGTCACCAGCGGGGTTCCACAGGGCTCTGTACTCGGACCCATCCTGTTTCTAGTATATGTAAACGACCTTCCAGAGGGTATAGACTCATTCCTCTCAATGTTTGCTGATGATGCAAAAATTATGGGAAGAATGAAAACAGATGAAGATAGACAGAGACTACAGGACGTCCTAGACAAACTGGAGGAATGGTCTAGAAAATGGCTGCTAAAGTTTAACTCAGGAAAGTGTAAAGTAATGAAATTAGGCGAAGGGAGCAGAAGGCTGAACACAAGGTACCATCTGGGAGGTGAAATCCTGCAAGAGTCAAATGGAGAGAAAGATCTGTGGGTCGATATCACACCGAACCTGTCCCCAGAGGCCCACATCAAAAGGATATCATCAGCGGCATATGCTAGACTGGCCAATATAAGAACTGCCTTTAGAAATTTGTGTAAGGAATCGTTCAGGACCCTGTATACCACTTTATGTAAGACCAATCCTGGAGTATGCAGCTCCAGCCTGGAATCCATGCCTAGTTAAACACAAGACGAAGTTAGAGAAGATTCAGAGGTATGCCACCAGACTGGTCCCAGAACTGAGAGGGATGAGTTACGAGGAAAGGCTAAGGGAGCTGGTATGCACAGAACTACTAAACTCAACTAATGAGGTGGTAGAGGTACTTGGAATTAAGGTAGAGAAACTAAACCTAATTATTATTCTAATATTTAAACTGCCAGATACAACGGTTGAGGAATTCACAGAGCAGATGCACAAAATAGAGAACATACTTGATAACCTAGCAATCCCAGCTCCAGATATTATCTTCCTTGGAGATTTCAATTTACCGAGTCTAAGATGGAGAATGGCAAACACAAATATCATAGCAGGGAATGACCCGGGAAATAACCAACCACAGGTCAGAGAACTTTTGAGATTCTGTGACAAATTCTTGCTCACTTAACAGATTACAGAACCAACTAGGAATGAAAACACACTAGACTTGTTATTCACAAACAATGATGAACTAATCAGAGACATTACAATCTCAGATACTTCATACTCAGACCATAAACTCACTGAAGTGCGAACTAGCATAAATAACGGTAGTAGGTCTAAGAAACCCAACAAGCGAGAAGGAGTATTCAGTCAATTCAATTTCAACAATAAGAGGATCGACTGGGAAAAAATAAATGTAGACCTTGCAACCATTCAATGGGAGACGGTCTTAAGCGACAAAACTCCCACACAGGGAATAGCTCAACTGACAGCTGAAGCTTACAAGGTCTGCTTGAAGCACATGCCTGTGAGGAGGGGCAGAAACAGGACCACTCTAGAAAGAGAACACAGAAGACGGTACAGAAGGAAAAAATAACGGAAATGCTTCGGCAGACACAACTATCACAAACAAGGAAAATAAACCTAAGCAGGGAGATTGAAGAAATAGAACAAACACTGAAGCGATCATATGAGTCTGAGGAGATGGAATTGGAACAGAGAGCTATACAAGAGATAAAGAAAAATCCAAAATATTTTTTCACATACGCAAAACCAAAATAAAAAACCTCGACCAGTATTGAACCGTTAATTTCAAATGAAGGTACGTACACAGAGGACAACAAAGAAATTAGTGAAATTCTAAGAAGACAGTATGAGGCTATGTTTAGCACACCAATAAACAACATGAAAGTTGATGACCCAGACAGCTTCTTTATGAATGACATTCAAGCTGCAGATAATATAACGGATATTAAAACAAACTCGGAAGACTTTGAAAGAGAAATTGACAATATGCTTATGCACTCAGCTCCTGGGCCTGACTCATGGAAGTCAATATTCATAAAGAAATGTAAAGTACCAGTAGCGCGAGCACTCAGCGTAATATGGAGAAAGAGCCTAGATACAGGGGAGATACCAGCAGCAGATATAGCTCCTTTGCACAAGGGGGGAAGTAAAGCTTTGGCAAAAAATTATTGGCCAGTTGCACTAACATCACACATAATAAAAGTGTTTGAAAGAGTGATTAGGAATCAAATTTCTAGTTTTATGGAAAATAATGAGTTGCACAACCCAGGACAACATGGATTTAGAGCAGGAAGATCCTGTCAGTCACAGTTATCTTGAGATGAGGTTATCTTGAGATGATTTCGGGGCTACTCAACCACTATGACAAAATCACAGAAGCTCTAGAAGAAAAGCAAAATGCAGATGTTGTATACACAGACTTTGCAAAGGCATTTGACAAATGTGACCATGGGGTGATAGCACACAAAATGAGGTCAATGGGAATAACTGGAAAAGTAGGATGCTGGATACTCAATTTCCTGTCAAACAAAACACAAAGAGTAACATTCAATCAAATAAAATCGAGTCCAAGCGAAGTTAAAAGCTCTGTACCTCAAGGTACACTCCTTGCACCGCTACTGTTCCTTATTCTCATATAAGATATAGACAAAAATACACGTCACAGCTTCATGTCATCCTTCGCAGATGACACAAAAATCAGCATGAAAACTGCCTCTGCTGAAGACATTGAAAAATTACAAGCAAATATCACCAAAGTTTTCGATTGGGCAGCAGAAAATAACATGATGTTTAACAGTGATAAATTTCAGGTACTCAGGTACGGCAAAAATGAGGATCTGAAACATAATACAGGGTACAAAACACAATCGAATCTTCCCATAGTAGAAAAACAGCATGTCAAGGATTTGGGAATAATGATGTCCGACGATCTAACGTTTAGGGAGCATAACCAAGCAAATATTGCATCAGCCAGAAAAATGATAGGATGGATTACGATAACTTTCAAATCCACGGATCCCAAATCCAGTTTTTTCCAAGATGGCTGCCTCTCACTGGAGGTCCTAAGAGTCCATTTCTTACACAACCAACCGTGCGCACATTTTGAATGGGTACAAAAAAATCAAAAAAGTTTTCTCGGTTGGTGCAGTTTCCCACCGACCAAGTTTTCTCAGCTGGCGCAGTCCAGTGGTTAAACTACTGAGGATTTGCCTCTGGTGACATATATACAAGGACAATAACCACATTTAGGATCTCTATTTAGATTATCAGCACTTCCAACATATCATTTGTGGTGTTTAGCAGTTCAGTTCAGATGAGTTTTCTCATATATTTTCTTTTAGTTTTTAAGGTCAGTGATACCTTAGACCCAGAATTGTATGGGACTTGTTCTCTGCACTTTACTCATCTAACAAACCCTTGATGTTCAAGATTATCAGGCAGCGACTGCTTTACCCTTAAGCTTTTCTGTTTTACAGTGGTCTAGGTTGTGTGCCGGGTTGGTTGTCCCGAGACTGCCCCGGTAGGTGTTTAGGGATTTGGAGATGTTGGTTAATTCAACCATCGTTCCGTTCGCAGCTCCTCTTCCTTTTCCTTTTCCTTCGGGCATGGTGCACCCACCCTCTTCTTTCCCATCTTGTTCTGCCTCAATGTGAGGGTTTTGGGGTTAGGGTTTGGTTTAGTTCAGGTTGTGGCTTGGCCAGCTCCAGGGTTCGCCCCTTCCAACTTGGGTGCGGAGGTAGTTGATCCTGTTAATTCTATTGATCCCACTGAGGCTTCTGGGTCTTTCTTTACAGCCAGCCCCAACCTCTGAAGCCTTGGACGCCTCTTCTTTATCCAAGGCAGTGGGCTTGGATACTGGCTCTGCCAGTTTGTAGCAGGTTAACAAGGAACATTGAAGAATAGGGCAGGTTCTGATCAATAATGGATACTCTAATGGATATGTCGTGGAAATCATCAAAAGGAAGGTGAGCTGCCATACGATTTCAGATACAACAGACAACAGTACATTATAGGTTCATACTATTAAAATATTCTACAGGAACTTTTTCACAGCCCATAAAATGGAAGAGAGGGTCCTGAAAAACATTATTGATAGAAAATGTGACCCCTACTTACACCAACTAGAAGATTGAACTAATAATATACTATAAGAGCAAGAAGACTGCCAACTTGCTCATAAAGAACTCTTCTGACACCAAACAAAACTCCTTGAAAGACACGAATGTCATCTATGCCTTCGCATGCCAACTTGGGGACTGTCAGCCCCAGTGAATTCAATACTGTATATGGGTAAGACAACAACATCCCTTTCAAAATGCCTAACAATGCACCTATTAAGGGACACATAATCTCTATACATAACCAGATCATCATCAGATATGCTCACAAGCAACACCAAAATAATCGACAGATACAGTGACAACAGAAAACATCGGCGAGGCACTATACTTTCCACACATTTTGCCTACAAAGTTCAATGGTTTCTAACATTAGCCACCCATCAACCAGGCTGTGATTCATACGTCAGGCTGCGAGCAGCCGCATCGAACAGCCTGGTTGACCAGTCCAGCAACATGGAGGCCTGATCGACGACTGTGCCATGGGGTCGCTAAGCCCCGGAATCACCTCAAGGTAACCTCAAGGTATTCCTGCACATTCAGTCCCTGGGTGGTGATGATACCTGCTTGATACCTGCTTGATGGGGGTTCTGGGAGTTCTTCTACTCCCCAAGCCTGGCCCGAGGCCAGGCATGACTTGTGAGAGATGTGCAAGACATGGACCCACATCTTTTTAGTAAGATGCGGTCAAAGAAACTAAGGGACCTGGGAGTTTTCCAAACATGGTAAATGATCAACAGGGGGGGGGGGTCTCCAGCGTCAAATGACCTCTTCCTAGAATAGGTGGGACTTTAGAATAAAACGGGGCACCTTTAAACAATTTCAGGAAATTGAAGCATACAGGCCAATTACTCTCAAGCGATTGGAGCAGCATAAGGGAAACTAGAAATAAGTGACAAACATTAAGTGAACTTGGTAACTCGGTAGTTTCACCTTACCTTTCTAGATGGTTTGAGTCTGTAATTACATGCTGATAGGCAGTAACGGTCAGGTGGCAGTCTGATGCCTTGCTGATTGGCCTTGATGGCTGGTAGAGGATTGGCATTTCTTGTCCTTGCTAAATCCAACAGCAACTGCAAAATGCATAAAATATTCACTTTATAGAAAATCATTTAAAAGTTAATTAACAGCAAATTAATAGTTTAATATATATTATATGGAGTAAAAGAATTCATATCCTATATAATATCTCAATAGGGATAGAAAAAGAAAATATGCAATGGAAGGTGCTGGAAACCAAAGGAAGTAAAGAGCAAAAAAGTGGAAATGATTGGTTGTGGTCATTTTAATGGTAATGGTGGTGGTAGTACCAAGTGTATTGTTCAGAAAACCAGTATTGAAATGTAATGAAATTCCAGAACTGGCAGCACGAAGGCAGCAATGGCAAGCTGCCACTGAACACTCGGGCACAACACATGATGCAACCCCGGCTGAATCAACCTAGCATCAATGACCAAGGGACTTACAGGGGTATTAGGAAGCCAATCGACACATTCTTCGCTAGAAACGAAAGACCCAGCTGCAGTTGAATAAACCGCCCACCAGGACCAAACAAACAAAAGCCCCAGCATTGGCGGAAAGCATGGAAGCACGCCCACGTGATAACTAGAGGTAAGAGAAACCAAAAACAAACCACGAAGAAACGACCCTGGTCCTAAAGGGACAAAGGATCACAGTAAAATGAGCAGAAGAAGAAAAAACCAGCGTTGAATGTAATGAAACGCCATTTTCTGGGTGAGCCCCGGAGGCTCAATGGAGCTTATCGGGCTAATGTATGTTATATTAGACCGGGACATTAGCTAAGGAGTTCAGACCTACCAGGGACCAGCACCAGAACCTGGCCCCTTCAGAGAGGTTTCAGGGAGCAATGGCCCTGGAAAACCCCTTGTGGTTGGGGTTTTCCTTATCTGCCATCGACTGGGGTTAGGCACCCAGAAAGGTAGGCATAACAAAACAAACCCCACATGGTAAAAACTAAAACAAAAACCGAACACAGAGGTAGAAACTCCCTACAATCACAAGGAAACAAGCAAACATCACACTTTACTGCCGCGCCGATCGTCCGCGCAGCCCTCCCCGCCCCGGGAGGGGGAGGGGGGAGCCCCGGACCTACCGCGGCTCCAGTTCAGAAGCTAAGCTTCAACCAACGCGAAAAAAACGCCGACCGGTGGGGAGGGAGGGTTGCCAGGGAGCCTCCGGGGCTCACCCAGAAAATGACGTTTCATTACATTCAACGCTGGTTTTCTGTGGGGAGCCCCTACGGCTCCCTGGAGCTTCATACCCAAAGAGAAGGAAAAGAAAGGGCTAACCCGGGAGGCGACCACCACAAACTCTGCAACGCAAAGCCAAGACAACCGGTCGCAAACCTGCGACCCAAGGCAACAAGAACGCCCAAGAGCAGACGTGCATAAGGATGGGCGGCCAAGAACCTGTGCGACCCACAAATCCCTGCGCCCGAAATGAGCCCGAGACGTCGCCAACACAGCAACAAAAGCTGCAAACGTCTGAACAGCACGGGCGCAAAGACAGACCGCAGGCTGGAAGAATGAAAACACTGCAGACGACCTGGGAGACCCGAGCCCTGAAAACAGGGAACGAAGGAACCGGATCAACCACAGCGCATCCCCAGACACGGTACGCCGGCAACAGCAAAAAGCACAACCGGACAACACAGGACGCACCCCCCGGCCAAACCAATCAAGTACCAATACCCCAAGAACCCCTCCGGAAAGCAGCCGTCTTGACCGTCGCCTGGACAGAGAAAGGCTGCACACCTATAAAGCTACCATCAGTACCAAAGAGCAGGAAACTGAACCGAAGGGGCTACCACAAACTGAGGGGAAGATAAGAAGGCACCCTGAACAACGACCAGGATGGCTCAGGCGACGCATGAGCAGGCCGGAGGGGAAACAAAACACGAGAAAACGTATAAAACGTCATACTGTCACCAAGACGAAGCTCGCAGGTGGGACACCGTCAACAAAGCCACCTGAACACCATAGAGATGGTGATATCCGCGTCAAAATACCAGACACGAAGAGCCAAGGAGAAGGCCGAACCAGTCACAGACAGGACCGATTCGGCCTACTGAAAGAGGTGGAGCCTCAGGAAAAACGCCCCGGGTACGGACACCTATCAAGCAGCGTCTGAAAAGAAGGCCGGGCCGGCCACCATGGAACCATAAGGAATGCTCTCGTGGGATTGGGCTGCAACCGAGCCAGAATCCGAAGCAACAGCTGGACCGGGAGAAGATGAACAGGTACCCCCCACCTTGACCAGTCCTGCCGAAAGCATCCACCGTGAAGTCCTCGCAGGTGGGAAAGGGCGCCACAAAATGGGCGACGCCTAGACCACGCAGACCCGAAGACGTCCATGGCCAGGAGTCCATACGCCCGACAGAGCCAACAAAACGAATCGGCGACGACTGGCCAACCCACGAAGAGGAATGAACCGAGACAGCTGTCCGCCAGGACGCAGGACACACCCCGGACATGAACCTCACGGTTAGCCAAACCCCTGTGATTCCGGCAAGAACCACCAGAGAACAGTCCGAACAGAGCTGAATGGTAGAGTACCTAGTGACCCTAACCCTCCGAAGCGCAAACCAGACAGCCACGAACACCCGAACCGTGCTGCGAGCCCAACGGACAGACAGACTCCATCAACCTCGGCTGACCTGGTGAGCACTGGTCACAAAGCCCCAGCCGAGAGACGACCCATCCGTGAACACATTGAGAGAAGGCTCGGGGAGGTGCCAAGGCACGGAACCCCGAAAACCCCAAAGAGGAAGCGAAGCTGGTGACGCAGCACTGACACAAGATCCCCGGAGGAACCCAACGAATGCAAGAGGCGGAAGGGGAGTCTCCGCAGGAACCAACAAACGCCGTAGCCAAACCCGACTTTGCGGGCAGACAAACACGCCAAAGTGCAGACTCCCGCACAACCGCTCAAGCAACCGCTGAGCAACCCGAGACCCCCTCCTGTACAGCCGAAGGCGGGACCAGAGCCGCAGTAACACTTCTGGAGGGAAGACAATGAGGGGCCCAAAAGCCTTAAGCAAGACCCAGGTCCGAACCCGGGATGGAAACAGATGGAAAAACCTCCAGATCTCCAGGAAACCAAACCCGGTGATCTGGAAAGAACCATACCCCTGGCGAGCAGACAAGCGGACTGACTGGGAGCCCACACCAGCCAGTCGTCGAGGTAGGCCAGACACCGAAACTCAGACTCAGACAGGGCACTAAGATCCGGTAAAGATGCAAAAAGTATACGAAGTGCCCATTACAAAATAGGGAAGGCAATAAAAACAGCAAACCTGAAGCCCCACCACCAACCGTGCCAGTCCCAGAAAAACTGGAGAGGAATGTGCCAAGAAGTGACCTGGAGGTCCAGGGCCACCATCCAGGCACCCGGCCCCAACAGAATCCGAACAGGAGACAACAGTCCTCCGAGGAGGGCATAGGATCCAGGGCGCAGACTGAAGAAGTCCAGAAGAACTGCAGACGGGAAAAGCTCATGACTGCAAAGAGCAGACGGGAACCCCAGAAGGATGGGGCGGATCGACCACGCCCCACGCACCCACGAAGAGGAAATGACGAAGGGCAGGGGAAGAAGCCCACCCCGCCAGCTCTGAACCCCCCCAAGGGGGAGAAGCCGTCCTCCGACGCCAGCAGAGGCCGGAAGACAACCCAAAGCGCCCACCAACAGCGGGACCATGCGAGAGGCAACAGAGCAAGCTGCTCCTCCAGCGCCCAGTCAACAGAGATGGGAACAGAACCCCTTCCGAAAGAAAAAGTACACTACCCAAGTCATGATGAGAGACTACGGGAATTAAACCACACTTCGCTGGAAGACGAAGAGTGAGGGGGACCTGATCACCACATTCAAGATTCCCAAGGGAATCGACAGGGTTGAGAAGGACAGGCTATGTAACACAAGGGGCACACGCACTAGGGGACACAGGTGGAAACTGAGTACCCAAAGGAGCCACAGAGATAGTAGAATTTTTTTTTTTTTTTTTTTTTCAGAATGGTAACGGGAAAACACTAGGAAGTAATGTGGCGACTCCACACACAAGTAACGAGGCTGACCCCCATACAATGTCACATGTAGACACGATAGAGCCCAATAGGCACAGGAACCTATACACCTGTTGATAGACGGGTGAGAGGCGGGACCAAAGAGCCAGAGCTCAACCCCCGCAAGCACAACTAGGTGAGGACATATATTGGAAAAGTACAAGTCGTCGACTAGTGGGCAGAGAGCACCACGCCGATCAGGCAAAGAAGGCACAAAACTGCATCAAAAGGCCCACCTCGACAGCAAAACCGCAAAGTCCCAGCACAATCACAACATGTGCCAAGACCCAAAAAGATCAGTCTGCAAGCCAGGAAGACCCCGGAACCCCAGAAGGCAGAACCGGGTCACACGAGGAAACAAAGTCCCTGAACCCACAAAAGAGGGCCCAAGAGGAAGAAACCTCCAGAACCAAACCAAGGAACCCAAAGGAACCCAGAATCGAACCAGGGGGAGCCCAAACCACCACATTTTGCCGGCGGAGAACACCACTGAAAGGCAAAGCACAGCCCCCCAGCAGAACCCCCTGGGAAAACGGTCCCAACAGACCGAAAACCGAGGGACAAGGTGTGGGAGCAAGCATACCAGCCAGGGGCACTGAGCCTAAACCCAAAGGATCAGACCCAAAACAGAAAAATTGGAAAAACCCGGTGTAAAATCAACACCCAAATGTTTCCAGAGGAACAGGCAACGGCAAGAAAACACCAGAAAAACAAAGAAACGACAACAGGAGAACAAAAACCCTGAAAAAATTTGAAAACTCACCCGAGACGCTCGCTCGCACACCCAGACGCATGTAAACAAACCGCAACGCGGCCCTGGTGGCCACGCCGTGAAACCGGCAGACGAACATGGCCGCCAGCAGGGGCTGTGACTGACGCTAAATACACAAAAACACGCCAGCAAATGTGGGAAGCTAGCAGACTGGATGGGCGAAAAACGCCGCCCAACAGCAGAAAAACCCCGGCAGGGGCAAAACCGCCCCAGAACTGCTAGC